CCCATAGAAACACAAATAAATAAGATGATAAAACTAAATTTGATAGCTTTAATAGACATATGTTGTACATTTAATAGAATTAGAAAAGATTTAATTCCAGAAGATTGTAGACAAAAATTAAAATATGAAATAAGAGGAAATCAAATAGATGGTAGTAAAATGGGATTCGAAGAAAGACTTTTTGATGATTGTAAGATTAAATTTCAAGAAAGACAATATAGTTTAACAATCACACTAGTTAGCGCACTAATAAAAGATGAATTTGTTATAGGTATAAAATTCTTATTAAGTAGAAATGAAAGCTTAACAATTACTCCGAATGTCATAATATATGGATAAGAGTGTGTGTATATATAAGATCTTCCATTTTTGCCTTTCATAAGTGATAATTTAAACTATTTGAGTTAATCATTTTACTCAAATTTTCTTCCATAATCCCAAGCCCAAATATGAGAATTTGGCTCTGGTACCACTTGTTGAGAGTTGCAAACAAATAGACACATTTTTCCAATTCGAATGTTTACTATTTCAAAAATGGGTCTCAATTTCTGACCGAGAATCTGGATTGAAGAAAATACTTTGATTATATTTCAGTACTTCAATTTTTGATTTCTAATTGCATTCAATGGATCTTCTATCTTCGATCAATATTTTGTCGTTCGAATCAACTAACGAATATTTGTAGTTAGGTCCTCAAACTTTGGATTTCATCATTTTTCTTCGATTTTCACTATTTTTTTTCAGCTTCACTTTAATCATTGAATTTTACCTAACAAACAAACTATACAAGAATTTAAACCATAATTAATCATAAGAACTCCTAAATCTCTATATTTAAAGAGCTAAATAAGTTCATAAAATACAATTACCAACTATTTACATCAACTATGCCTATTGGCTTGAATGAGTTTCTTGAAAAACATGTTCTAATATCAGTTACATTTTATTTATACTTTGATGGACTGAAAATGTTGAATTGGAAATGATGAAAGGAACCCAACTCTTCAATTAATCAAAATTTACATTCATGGAATTCGGTGAGATCCACTAGTCTTAGTTTATAAATAACATCATTGTAAAAAAGTGATGTTTTTTTTGACCCATTTAATACTTAAGGGGGTTAATAGGTGTGCTATGTGGAATTTAAATTTAATAACTTGCAACATGTTACAAAATATCTAGTCTAGATGCAAATAATATCAACTTTGTAGCACAATCATATAAACAAGTAAGAAAATACATAAGAAGTAAATAAATTAAGAATTGTTTACGATGGAAAAATCCCTTAAAAACTCTTCAAGAGAAAAAAACCTTCGAGCATCCTATGTCGCCAAATGATCCACTAGAAAAGATTGAACTTATACATTTGGTCTAGACATAATTAAACCTTAGTAGACTTTGACTCCCAATGTATAATTACTCATAGAATTCTTCAATTGTGCACACCAATACATGCTCCAAAACTTCTGAACTTCTTTTCCTTGTGGATCTTCAAGAACGAACTCGTTCTTCCTTAATCAGAACTCCAACATTTCTCATATCAATTAGAACCTTGAAGGCTATTTGGTAGAAGATTTTGTGATTTTTTGATTTTTGAATGTGGAAGAGAATTTGTGATAACAATTTATTTCTTCTTCACTAAGATCATCTATTTTATTTCTTTGCTGTCAGCACATGATGAAAGAAAAGAGTTTTTATTGTTTATTAGTTGTATTTCAAAGTTTTAAGTGGTTTATAAGTATTTGGAGGTTGAAATAAGTAAAATACAGTTTTTTTTTCGTGTTGATAGACGTTGGAGCTCCCTCTTGACGTTCATCGAGCATACTTTGCTCGGGCAGGACATTCATCAAATTTGTGTACATATACACAAATTTGTTTGTGTCCTTCCAGCTTGAGATTTTGTTGGGATTCTACCATTCTATATGTATTTGAGGTCGTAGGGGCACGTGTAAGGAATTTTGTAAATTAAAATTGAGTTTGAATATGGAATCAGTTTTGGTTTGTTCGGTTTTACTGAAGAATAGGTTTGGTTTGGTTTGTAATTTAACCAAACCAATTTGGACGAGTTTGGATTCTGGTTGGTTGCAAACTTGACCCATCCACCCTTATAAGTAGTGGCAGATTCAGGACAGTGATAACGGTTGAATTCAGATGAGTATGAACAGTCGTCCAATGTAAGAAAAGAATGTTTCTTGGCAAAGCTGGCACGGGTGCCTACAATCGTTCGTAGAGTCCGGGTTTCGTCCTTGCTTACAAGAAATGTTCTCTTTATACCAAATAAGACACTCCAAATAACAATTTTCTCATAAAAATTTATGT